TCCCATCTATAATAAAGTTACTCCCTGGATCCCACCAAACCATTCTTAAAAACTGGAGGTTGTTGAAAAGTTTTGTGAAAGAGAAGATCAACAAACACAAGGTGGACTGGAACCCCTCAGAGAACCGGGACTTCATCGACAGCTACCTGCACGAGATAGCTAAGGTTAGCAATGCAGAGCAAACCCTTCTGCAGCAGGGCTTAGAAATCAGGAGGGATGAGAAACGAGCCCAAGTTCTCCATCTGAGCCACCTGTGCGACCATTTATGAGCTTAGGAAGGACATTAGGTCCAGGGCACCCATCAGCAGGATGGAGGTGCAGGGGGGGCCAGCAACTTCTGCCAAAATCCTTGGGGTTGACTTGGACTAAGCCCAGTGTCAGGGCAGCCCTCGCTGTTTGTGGGGCACTAACATACCTTTTTGTGAAGGACAATGGCAGTGGCAGCTTCCAGGAGGAAAACCTCGTGGCGTGCGCGCTCGACCTGCTGTTCGCTGGGACTGAGACCTCTTCCACAACCATCCGCTGGGCTCTGCTGTATATGGCCATACATCCGGAAATTCAAGGTACAATTAGCAAAAGGTCGGTGTTTTCCTTGCTTTTAGCCTTCACTGCTTTATGAGAGACTCTCTTTTTTGAGAAAAAAATCAGGAAATCCTCCTGCACTCACACAAAAGAGGTGCAAACAGCAGCAGGTGTCCCAGCTCGGTCCTCGGGGCACCCTCACAGCAAACACCTTGCGTTGTTCCAATGGGTTTTTTTTTTCTTGGACATTGGCTGATCCCTGTTCTTTCCCACCAGCCCGCGTGCAAGCTGAGATTGACGTGGTCATTGGGCAGGCGCGGCAGCCAGCCCTGGAGGACAGGAGCAACATGCCCTACACCAACGCCGTCATCCATGAAGTGCAGAGGAAAGCCAACATCATCCCTTTCAACGTGCCAAGACTGACGGTGAAGGACACGGTCTTGGATGGCTTCCACATACCAAAGGTAACACCACTCCTGAGCGCTGAGATTTTAGCAAGACACTCCCAGTTCCCCAGGCACATTTCACCAGGCCACGTCTCTCCTGTGCAGACAGGAGGGGCAAAGCCACAGCGTCCCTGCCCCGTCCAGAGTTCACTCCTATTGATCACGTATTTTTGTCGTCCAACGTCCAGCACGTTGAACGGTGCAAGACACCCCCTGCACACACCATCGAAGCAGATTTTTACAGGAACTTTGGCCCAAGATTACAGCAGATAAAAATGATGCTGATGAGGGAAAAACGTGGCTATATAATCATTGAACCTCCAAACAGACAGGAAGTAGGAAAAAACAGCTGTGCAGAGGGTGTTGCACAAATAATTGCAGCAGAACTTGACTATAGATGTTCTTCAAGGAGAGGAGACCGGAAGAATAAAATGCCCCTTCTGCTGTCAATGACAGAAAAAGTGCAATTTGTTTTTATTTTTGTCATCTTAGGGCACTGTTTTGCTCACAAATTTAACCTCCGTGTTGTTTGACAAGAACGAGTGGGAAACCCCCGACATTTTTAACCCTGGGCATTTCCTGAAGGATGGTCAGTTCTGGAAAAGGGAGTCTTTCGTGCCATTTTCTATAGGTAAGATTTCCTGGATTTTGTTGCTTCCATGCTGAGGCACTGGGATGGGACTTCCAAATGCAAAGGGCAGATGATGGCTGCACCCTGCTCAAGCAGTGCTCAAGTGGCCACCCCAAAGCACCGCAACCACACTCTGAGCCCTTTCTTGTCTCTTCACATGGACAGAAGACAGATGAGGATGAATGAAAGACCATAAAAATGCCAGAGACCCTAGAAACACCTTCAGCAAGGCAAGAGCATCACTCTGTGCTCCTGCTCCCACATGGCTGAAGGCACTAGGGGCTTCACCGTTTGCCACCACAGGGCACCCCAGCCAACAGCTTCCTCTGAGAGATTGCTGTTAGAACCCCCTGTTTCCTGTATCAGCATCCCACACCTTCTCTGGTAGCTCTCTCTGGTGTAGTTCAAACCACCAAACTCTCCTAGCTGAAGCCCAACAGAATGAGAAGCAGCTGAGTGTCAGA